GCCTGGGAATCCGAGACCAGCCTGGGCAACATAGCAAGACACTGTCTCAAAAAAAAGAGAAGAAAAAAAAGAAATTCAAGATTCAGGAGTCAATATTACTTAAGGTAGCAACTGTCTTTTCTATAGAAAATGGACAAATATGGATAAAAGCCACTTCCCTTTCTAAAAGTGTCCCTACAATTCAAATGAATACTAGGAAGGATTGTATTCATTCTTGTAAATGACACTCACATGTGTCTTAGCACAAAAAGAGGATTCTTTTATGATATAAATACACTGAGAATTTGGTCAGGCCATCACAATGAACTGATAGTTCATACGGATTTGAGTCTTTATACCACTCTGAAATCTGGACCAACTGGGCCTCCAAAAGGCCATTTTGCAGATCTGGGCTTGTTTCTGAAGCTACAGACAGGCCGCTTCCAAGCACTCTTAAGTGCTCCACAGGTAATATTTCTAATTCCCAAGGACAACCCCACAAAAAGGTACTCTTACTCCATTTTTAGATGAGGAAGCGGAGGCTCATGATGTCAGGTAAGCTTTCTCAGCTCCCAAGTGGTTAAGCCCTCAGTTTAATATCAGTTGACTCCAAAGCCCTGCGTTGCACCATGCCTTGATAATAGGCCATATGGGTTTCATGTATTTCAGATGGGGCAGGGTAGTGTGAGGTGAAAGATCCACAATTAACCTTTTAACCATGGAACTGAAATATTAACAGATGAGGTGATACAATAGCTGGAAATAATTCCAAAATAATTGGGGTGGTAATGGTCTGTGACCTGTTAGGAACCAGGCCGCAGAGCAGGAGGTGAGCAGCAGGCTAGTGAGCATTACTACCTCCTGTCTGATCAGCAGTGGCATCAGATGGGTGAGGATGTAAAGGAACTAGGATTGGCATTGAGTTGAGATTGTTGGATCTAGGTGATAGATTTGTCATTATATCATTCTCTTTGTGATATTTCTTATATTTTCTAAAATAAAAAGTTGTAGTTATTTATTTAGACAGAGTTTCACTCTTGTTGCCCAGGCTGGAATGCAGTGGTGTGATCTTGGCTCACTGCAGCCTCCGCCTCCCGGGTTCAAGCGATTCTCCTGCCTCAGCCTCCCAAGTAGCTGGGATTACAGCCTCCCGAGTAGCTCGCCACCACGCCCAGCTAACTTTTGTATTTTTAGTAGAGACGAGGTTTCACCGTGTTGGTCAGGCTGGTCTCAGAACCCCTGACCTCAGGTGATCCACCCACCTCAGCCTCCCAGAGTGCTGGGATTACAGGCGTGAGCCACCGTGCCCAGCCAATAAAAAGTCTTTGAAAGGATTTAGATAAAATAGTTGGGGAAATGACATTTTTGTTCAAAGCCAACTATTTATGTTTGGAATATCTTTTGTGCTTGGAGTTCTCCATTACAGAGTTCCCCAGTGTTCATATTAAGAAGTAACATTGTGCGGAGGAATGCACTGTTTAGATCAGCAGTCCCCAGCCTTTTTGGCACCAGGGACCAGTTTCATGGAAGACAATTTTTCCACAGACCTGGGGTGGGAAGTGTTTGGGGATGAAACTGTTCCACCTCAGATCATCAGGCATTAGTGAGATTCTCATAAAGAGGGGGCAATCTAGATTCCTCACATGCGCAGTTCACAATAGGGTTGTCACTCCTGTGAGAATCGAATGCCACCGCTGATCTGACAGGAGGCAGGGCTCCGGCGGTAAAGCTTGCTCGCCTGCAGCTCACCTCCTGCTGTGGAGCCCGGTTCCTAACAGTTCATGGACCAGTACCCATCTGCAGCCTGGGGACTGGGGACCGTGCTTTAGATGATGTACTCTGGCTTTGCATTCTGGCATTAGCTAAGCACCCTCTTAAAGGAAGTTGGGTCTGTACTCATTCCGTGTTCTCCCTAACAGCTGGAAACATTGAATACCTGCAGTGCTGGGAAGTTACTCCCACCACAACTAGAACAGCTGTGGGAAGGACAACAGTTGATTTTGAAGAATGTCATCAATTTGCACATGATTCTGTCCTTAACCATTCTTATCCTAACAGCTCTGCCAAACATGGAGAATAGTTGGCTGCAGGACAGCTATTTTTCCTACTTGTAGATGCAACTATTTCTCACCCATCCGGATGTAAAAGGTCCTTGTACCCTAAGATTGGTCCTACATACACACCCAGTGGGAAAATGGGATGAAAAATTTAAAGCAGTAAATATTTGAGGAAGTAGATAGAGTAATTTAGAAAAAGAAAATACACAGGGCCAAGCACAGTGGCTCACATCTGTAATCCCAGCACTTTGAGAGGCCAAGGCGAAAGGATTGCTTGAGCCCAGGAGTTTGAGGCCAGCCTAAGCAATGTAGTGAGACCCCACATCTACAAAAATTAAAAACTTAGTTGGATTTGGCAGTATGTGCCTGTAGTTTAAGCTACTTGGGAGGCTAAGCTGAGGCAGGAGGATTGTTTGAGCCCAGGTGGTCAAGGCTGCAGTGGGCTGTGATTGTGCCAGAGTATTCCAGCCTGGGTGATAGAGTGAGACTCTCTCAAAAAAAAAAAAAAAAAGACAGAAAAAAAGAAAGAAAATATATGGAGGTATATAATATAAAAATATAAATAAGGGATTCCGAGTGTAGTGGCATGCCTCTAATCCCAGCACTTTGGGAGGCTGAAGCAGGAGGATCACTTGAGGCCGAGAATTCGAGACCAGCCTGGGCAACATATTGAGACCTCATCTCTGCGAAAAATCAAAAAATGAGGTGGAAGGGTGGCTTGAGCCCAGGAGGTCAAGGCTTCAGTGAGCTGTGATTGCATCACTACACTCCAGGCTGGGTAACAGACAGAGACCCTGCCTCAAAATAAATAAATTCATACATACATATGAGGACTTGTTTCTTTCCATTTGAAATGTTTCATTCAAAGGCTAGAATTAAATTGCCATAGGCCATCACAAGTTTAACTTGAATAAATTATTATTTTTTTTTCGAGATGGAGTCTCACTCTGTCACTCAGGCTGGAGTGCAGTGGTGTGATCTTGGCTCACTGCAACCTCTGTCTCCCGGGTTCAAGCGATTCTCCTGCCTTAGCCTCCCATGTAGCTGGGATTACAGGCGCCCACCACCACACCTGGCTAAGTTTTGTATTTTTAGTAGAGACGGGGTTTCACCATGTTGACCAGACTGGTCTCGAACTCCAGACCTCAAGTGATCTACCCGCCTCAGCCTCCCAAGTGCTGGGATTATAGGCGTGAGCCACCGCACCCAGCCTAGCTTGAAGAAAATTTGATAGGAGTTTGTTTTTTCTATTTATAGGCCAAGCAATACCATGTATAAATATTAAGAATCATGGCTGTTCCTTAGTGCCTAGTTGTTTATAAACCATGAGAGAGAATGAAATCATTGACCAAGTGAGACAGGGCAACAGTCTTCCCTGGGAGTAAAGAGACGAGCAGTTTCTGTTGACATATATTTCAGGCCTGGCCTCCAAAAAAAATTTACCCAAAGCAGTGGTGTGTTGGTGTCCAGGGCTACCGAGCCTAATCTTTGGCTGCCTCTGTGTTATTCTAAGTTGTAATTTTCCGTGTCATCTAAATTTGTAATAATTCTTTAGTATGATAGTGTTTCAGTGAACAAACATTCTGCTTGCTGCATTTCTTCTGAGTGAGTAATTCCCTGACAACTACCAGATCTTGGCAGAAGCAAAGTTGGTCATAAGTTATACTCCACTCTCAGTGTTGGTGAAACGTATGATGCGTAACACAGTGTTTTTGAATTCAGTGCTGATTTTCCTAAAGGACATTTGGGAGGAAGAAAGAAAAGGAAAGGGAATACCCAAATTCAGGAATAGAACATATATATTATTATAAGACTTAAAAAATACATGAACACTAATCATGAACTCAGTTCTTCTTAGTAAAAGACCTTATGCTCTTTTTCCCATTTCTCTGTGTGGCTTGATTATGGTGAAAGTGGCTGTGTGAGTTTCCATTATTGAAGGAGTTAAGGTCTGTGGAATCAAAGTGTGAGACAACATGCAGGGACCAGGTTGGTTTCCATTTAACAGCCAACCTAATGTAACTGAAAGGATTGAGAGGTTTGTCTTTTTTGGAAAATGTTAAGGTTCTTCCAAGTAACCAGCAATGTGACTTTACCACACTGTTCATTAACAGGGGTTTGGATGATGACCACCATGTCTGCTGCTGGCTGAGTCCAAAACTGCGGTCACTCTCTCCAGCAAGCTCAGGGAGGGTTACGTCATCTTCACTCAGCCAGCCCAACGCTTTTTCCATCTGCTAAAATGTAGAACATGGTTGCTGATTCTACCCTTTCTACAGAGAGAGAGGGAACATGGATGAGTTGCTGCTTTTAAAGATTGTATGTTAATTGCTGTTTTAAAAATCTGCTAAGCCAAGCACGCTTAGTGTAATCAGTCACCATGGAGTTTTTTAATAGGACAGCTTCTGCTCTTACAGAGCAGAGCTTTTATGCCGGTGGGTTAGAAGCATAACATGTTTCTATATTGAAATGGTTCTCCAACAAGGACTTCTTTTCATCAGGGGTGACCTAAAAGGTATTACTTGAAATACAGTTACATCATGTTCTTAACTGGGTTTAGTAGTAGGATAATTACAGGGTTGTATCCACCTCAAATGGGAAGAACTGATAAGTTTTGCACAATTATTTAACTCCTCTGTTAGGCCTTCCTTATTTCCTGTTCTCTTTTTAAAATTTGACTAAGATACTCCTAATGGGCTTGGGAGCCTATAAAATGATCAGGATTGTTGCCTTATGTTTTGCATGTTTGGGGTAACAGTGGAGCCAGATGTACCCTTAAATAAAAGGTAAGCCTACAAAACCAGTTTCTCGTTGCATTCAAAATGTGATTTAAAAAAAAAAAAAAAAAGGAGACTCTTGCTTACAGGTGATACTGTTTAGTTTGTTCTTTATTTTCCCTTTTGCCATTCATGAGATTTCTTAAATAAAATGACATCTTTTCTTTTTTTCATTATTATTTTAAAGGTCTCTGGGGAACAAGACTCATGGAGGAAAGCAGCACTAACCGAGAGAAATACCTTAAAAGTGTTTTACGGGAACTGGTCACATACCTCCTTTTTCTCATAGTCTTGTGCATCTGTAAGTAGAATATTTCCTTCCACTTATGGGAAAGTTTTGAAAAGATTTAACCTGTCCAAATCATCGTTAAAAGGAAGTGTCTGTGCACCAGAGGGGCAACTCGGAAGTTACCTTCTTACCTTTTTTTTTTTAATTTGAATTTTTTTTAAATTTGGGCATTTGTTTATTGACTATCTTCCTATGGTAGAATGCAAGCTTTATAAGAAAAGGGACATGATTTGTTCTCTGCTATAACCCCATTTCCCAAAACTGTGGATGGCAACAGAAGGCTCTGAAAAATATGCAAGAAAGAATTTGACCAAGTGCTAAGTGACTGTGGACTTGTGTTTAACACGGGAAGGGAAAGGCAAAGAGTTCAATTCCAATTTAGAATTTGGTCAGGTTCTCTTCTGCACTCTGGTAAACATTAATTAAAAATCAGCATTATCTGACCAGCCAGTTCATCGTCAGTGGTGACGATTTTCACTATGAGATACTCGTGGCAACCTGCCCGACACCAAGAAACCAAGTTAGAGGATTTTTGTATTAGATTTCTTAACAATGAATACAGTGTCACTATTATTACAGTATCATCATTATTGTCATACTGTTATTATATCAGGTAACATAAAGTCTGCATAAGAATTATTTCCAGAAAAATGACTTTCCAAACTTAACTTTCAGAAAATACAAATAATCCTACTAATATTGCTTTTGTTGGCGTATACATGTAAAAGTCTCCTTCTTTTAGATTTGGATAGGTTGTGTCATTGCCTCATTTTAATACATTATTTCTTGTCAATCTTTAATAATTGCTGGACTTTTACTCCACAAGAAACTTGCTATAGGCCAGTCTCTTTCCTGTTCTTTTCTTCTTCAGTTTGTCTTCCCATCCTCTGGTAGGGGGAGGGGAGGGACGCCTGAGCTAGATTAGCTGTAGGAACCATTTGTCTCTAAGTCCAGAAAGCCACAGGTGATGGATTTGTCCTCTAAATCAAAGGGCGTTTGATGATGGATTTCTGTCATGTCTCATCTAAAGTCTTCACGAGAACAGATGAAGAAACAGATTTATGACCCCAGAGCCTCCTACCAAACTCCTCTAATAAAAGGGTTCCTTTTTTTTTTTTTTTTTAAATTAGAAACAGAGTCTTGTTCTGTTTCCCAGGCCAGAGTGCAGTGGCACAATCATAGCTCACTGCAGCCTGGAACTCCTAGGCTTAAATGATCCTCTCACCTCAGTCACCCAAGTAACTGGGACCACAGCTGCATACCACAATGCCCAGCTAACTTTTAAAAGCTTTTGTAGAGGTGGAGTCTCACTTTGCTGCCTATTCTGGTCTCCAACTCCTAGCTTCAAGTGATCCTCCTGCCTCAGAAGTGCTGGGATTATAGGCATGAGCCACTGCACCCAGCCTGGATGTGATGTTTTTATGTTTTAAATTGTTAGAGTTTAGAAACTGAGATTGAGTTTGTTGCCTGCGTTAAAGTGGTGCTTAAATATTAAACTGCAGAGGCCTTAAATATTAACAAGTTGATTAGAATTACTAAGTTCTTTTCAAGCTTTACATATACAGACAAATTTCTTATACAAAATAGAAGGTAACCCCTGTACATAAGTCTAGAATTTCAGCAGTCCCCCAAACTGACTGAGCATTAGAATCACTCAGTGATTTTTTTTTTTTTTTTTTTTTTTGGACGGAGTCTCGCTCTGTCGCCCAGGCTGGAGTGCAGTGGCCGGATCTCAGCTCACTGCAAGCTCCGCCTCCCGGGTTTACGCCATTCTCCTGGCTCAGCCTCCCGAGTAGCTGGGACTACAGGCGCCCGCCACCTCGCCCGGCTAGTTTTTTTTTTTTGTATTTTTTTAGTAGAGACGGGGTTTCACCGTGTTAGCCAGGATGGTCTTGATCTCCTGACCTCGTGATCCACCCGTCTCGGCCTCCCAAAGTGCTGAGATTACAGGCTTGAGCCACCGCGCCCGGCCAAATCACTCAGTGATTTTAAAATACATATGTGGTTTGCCCAGATCTACTAACAGAGCCTCCATAATATAGCCTAGAGAAATGAGTTTTCAGATACAGTGATAAATTTGGAAAGTAAGCCAGAGAAGTAAGCTGAAGACAGAGAGTTTTAGGAAACATGCCTAAAGTCACATTTGAATTGATTTTCTTGTTTATTTGATAATATTGTTGCTTTTTGTTCTTTTTCACACGAATCACATTTTATTTCTTATGTGAGTAGCTATATATTTAAAATTTTTTTTTTTGGAATATTGTAGAATCTCTGGTTAGGAAGATATCCTAGCAATCATATGGTCTGACCTCACTGAATGCTAAAATTCTCTTAAACATCCCTCTCGTATGGTTACTCATCCTGCCTCTGATTGAACAAGAGTCCCAGGTTAAGGGACTTACTTCTTTGAAATCGTTCATTTCATTTTTTTATAGCTATGTTAGAAAGTTCTTCCTTCAGTGAAGCCAGAGTCTGTCTCTTGTGACTTCTACCCAGTTGCACTCTCCAAACCTACCTATACCAAGTATCTTTTTTCCATGTTGCTTTTCCAATTCAGCTCTTTGGAAGTTTGGAGACAAATACCTAATCTCCTCTAAGCCTTCTTCAGGTTAAGCCTTTCTAGTTCATCCAACTGTTGATTGTGTGATTGGAGACACAAGTTTGAGTGACTCCCTTGATGGAAAGTCCCTCTGGTGCATGTTCTGTTCATCAGAGTCCCTGAGAAAGCACACGAGCCTCACCACGGTGAGTGGGGCCGTGAGATTCCTAAACCAGACGCTACACTGTGGCTTGTGCAACCTGCCATGGCCAGACTCATGAGACTGTCTCATCATATAAATAATTCTTTAGTATCTTCACCAAAAACTGTGAATCACTGTATCCCCCAGCTATATGTGAGCTAGCCTGGGACCATAGTGGAGGACTCCTCTTTCAACCCTGTTAAATTTCATCTCATTAGGATCTGCCCATTTTTCCATTCTGTTGAAATTATCTTGGATCTGGATTCATTCATCTCAACATCAGCTACTCCCTGAAGCCTCACAGTATCAGCAGAGTTATTATCTGTATCCATATCCTTGTAAATTATTAAACCAAAAAAGATTGGTCTAAGAACATCAGTCCATTAATCAAGGCTCTTTGGTTGGAGTTCACTTCATTATATTATCATCCAGCTCAGAGTGTTCATAAACAAGATGATAGGAAAGACTTCTCCAAACGCCTGTCTGCGTAATTCCACCATTCCTCTGATCTGTGAGCTGTTGACCAGATTAAAAAGGAAGTGAGAATAACCAGGCAAGGTTTACTCCTAGCCAAACCTTACTGGCTTCTAGTGACTGAGTCCTTTCCCTATTGCTTACCAACAATCTTTTTAATTACTAGTTTTAAAATCTTGCCAGCAATGTCAATATCAAATTACCAAGAATATCAAACTCATTACTCTGTATGTAAATAAGATAGTGTATTTACCCCTATGCCTTGGGTATTAGGCTGTTCTTGCATTGCTGTAAATACCCGAGACTGGGTAATTTATAAGAAAAGAGGTTTGGCCAGGCACTGTGGCTCATGCCTGTAATCCCAACACTTTGTCAGGCCGAAGCAGGTGTATTGCTTGAGCCAAGAGTTCAAACTTAGCCTGGACAACAAGGTGAAACCCCCTCTCTACAAAAAATACAAAAATTAGCTGGGCATGGTGGCATGCTCCTGTAGTCCCCGCCACCCAGGAGGCTGAGGTGGGAGGATTGTTTTGAAGCTGGGAGTCAGTGATTGCAGTGAGCCGTGATTGCACCACTGCACTCCATCCAGCCTGGGCAACAGAGCAAGATCCTGTCTCAAAAAATAAATAAATAAATAAATAAATAAAAAGAGATTTAGTTGACTCATGGTTCTGCAGTCTGTAGGGGAAGCATAGCTCCAGCATCTGCTTCTGGGGAGGCCTCAGGAAGCTGTTACTCATGGCGGAAGCTGAAGCGGAGCTTGCACATCATGTAGCAAAAGCAGGAGCAAGAGAAAGAGTGGGGCAGGGAAGAAGCCACACACTTCTAAATGACCAGATCTCATGAGAAATCACTCGTTACCTCCAGGACGGTACCAAGAGGATGGTACTAAATTATTCCTGAGAAATCCACCCCCATGATCTGATCACTTTGTACCAGGCCCCAGCTTCAGCATTGGGGATTACATTTCAACATGAGATTTGGATGGGGGACAACATCCAAACTATATCACCTTGCATAGAAGGTGATTTTAGGGTTTTAGGGTAGGTAGGGTTTTAGAAAGCAGTTTGACATAGTAAGAAGAGTACAGGTTTTTTTTGCATCAGACAGACCTGAGTTCAAATCCCAGCTCCACCGCTAACATGCTAGGTAAATGTGGGCAAGTTAATTAACCTTTCTAAGCCTTTGTTTCCTCACTCGTAAAACAAGTATTTGGAAATATCATTGTGAAGATTAGAAATAATACATGAAAAGATCCTAGGATGCTGTCTGTCATACAGTAGTATTAGTAAGAAGTTATTCTTGCCAAAGATTGTTGAGAATGGCAGAATTATCTCAGTTCTAAGAGCTATAGTTTCTGGAGCTCGGTCTCAGATTGATTTGGAGCAGCTAACTGCTCACCAAGAGCTTATTTTCCATCTTACCAATGAAAATTATGTCCCCTGTGTTTTAAAAATCAGTCTACTTAACCAAGAGAACAGAAATGACATGAGAATTAAGTAATCTAACTTTCTCTGTAATTTAGGATTTATTCCTACTAGAAACCTGAGAGTTGCTATGAATTCACCATTAAGCACTTACCAATATACATGGGTTACTGTTATAAATAGCAATAGTATTGCTATTGTGTGAGTTAGGTGTTGAAGTTAAAGAAGGGAATAAAGAATATTATAAGATCTTTGAAAACAGTGGCTGTGTATGGTGGCTCATGCCTATAATCTCAGCACTTTGGGAGGCTGAGGCAGGCAGATCACTTGAAGTCAGGAGTTCGAGACCAGTTTGGGCAACATGGCGAGA